CATAGCTGAGCGTTTGGCTCAATGTAGATTACGTCGCCACGCTGCACAGTGCTCATTGCTTGTTGCCCCTGATTTACTGAATAATTTTCGATGGCACCTTTGCCCTCAACGACCACCATTATGCTGCCACATTCGAAACTCGGGATGGGCACCGCTGATACTGGCCTGGTCACAGCTGCTGCTTCTCCAGACGCCAAAGTTGCTGGAATTGTTAAGGCGCTCGAGTCGATCTGAAAAACACGCACACGTAATAAGAACGCACTATTCGCGTACTATCCAAAATTAGGAGCAACCTCTTCGCTCTCCCTTCGTTTCAGTGAACGCTATTTTTGCAAATCATGCCATATTTTTTTGGGAGGTGTGCAACCTTTTGAGGTGAACAGCAACAAGTCCAATAATTCTAGCTCCTTATACAGTTTCTACACGAAATGCTTCACTTGACTCTCAGATACACACGTGAATGCGCCTAACTGGCATTAATTCGGAAACAGTTTTATCCGGGGAGGGAAGTGAAGGACAAAGGGAAAATCGGCAGTGAGGGCAATCGTCTCTCTTTCCTGCTGCGAAAATTACAAACCAGGTTTCCATCCGCCACCCGCTTCATCGCTCCAGATCCAGAATGCTCGAAAATGCATACCAGTGCTTAGGAGGGAATTCATGAAATCACTAAGCCATTCCCAGCAGTTGTCAGAGAAATGATCGTTTTGTAGATAACCCTAACCGATACGTCATCATTTGTGAAAGGCCAAGGATTAAATGGCCATTCCTGGCCTCTAGAGTGACAATGCATATGCCTAAAAGAGGGAATGAGTGACATCTAGGAGCAAAATAACTCAGAAGACAAGCAGTGTCCGATGCCTGGCTCTATTTCAGTGTTACACATACGTAAAACATCTGGAAATGCAATTAATTCTTAGCGTGGTTTTCAGTCTACGCAATTAGTAATTTTCTGCTTCTAAAGCACAATTTTTGCAATTTACAATAATGTTAAAGCAAACTTATGAATCAAGTACTGAGAAGCCGTTTCAAGAACAGAAGCTTGGCAGAAACCGTGATGCACAGCAAAGAAAATAAATCTACTGATATAAATACTGAAGTTTAAGCACAGCAGTAACCTTGATTTCGTGTAATATGAAGTCTTTGCAGTCCGGAGCATATTCACGAATGTGTGGGAAATTTTTCAAAATCACCGGCGGCACCATGTAGTAGGACGGATCGGTCATCCGGTAACTAAGAATATCGCACAGTGCTTCAGTATCGACAAATTTTGGGGTACATGCAGCCCGGACTGTATTATTTGAGCAACCAACACATTCCACGCATTCTGAAAGCCAATTCTGACCAGTAATAAGCCTAAGTCTAATTTCATACGCGTTTTTATATCTTTATGCCAGTGTAAAAACGCGTATTAACAAGAACTCGGTGTATGTGTGTATGTGTGTGTGTGTGTATGTGTATGTGTACTTCGCCACTAACTTTCAATCGCATAACCAGAAAAGCCAAGAACCTGAAATTTTACGAGTGTGATTTTACCCTACGCTATCACTCCCACAACCTGAAGTGGTCCACGTACACTTGGGCCTCACGTTTGAATGTTTAGAAGAAAACATACAAATTTTTTGATCAGAAATGATTTCGAGGACCAGACAGGACAGAAAGCTACTTTCGTCGATGGCAACGTGCCAATCCGCTGGAAAAGGGACAGCTGAAAATTTGCGAGAAGCTTGCTTCATCCACATAACTTCATATGTTCAAGTAGGCCTTCCAAAAGCCACTGGCTGCACCCTGACACCACACAAACACCAGTCACTAGTCCGCTTTGTTTATCTGCCTAAATCCTCGCCATCAGGTAGGTTGAAAGCAGATGGGCATCCCGGCCTTTCCAGCTCTTCTTTTCGAGGCCATGATTTCTAGAGCCACTGAAACTTGTTACAACAATACGAAGAAGCTATCAGGCCAATGACTTATCTTTTTTGTTACACCTATAAAACTGCGTCTGGGCATCTCTGTGATGATGTGGAACAGACCTCCAGATAAATAAGCATGGAGCTCTTGCGCAGCATAATAGCAACATTCTCCGGGCATCAGAATTATGTGATTGAGAAGCAGTGGTGCGAAACAGCCAATGTCACCGGGGAAATCCTTGGACATCTTCCAGATAACGCCCACTGTTTCTTCCCTTAGTGATCCGCGCACTGTAAGAAAATTTCACAAGAATTTGTTAACAGACCGATATTGGCTTACAGTCAACCATCAGAGAGACTCTTTTCCTAACCGCATTTTTCCGCGAGTGATCAT